TCAGTTCAATGATCACATATTTCTGTTTCCTTAGGCATCATTAGGCTTGCTAGGATGCGATGTTCTTTAGTATATTAACCACAAAAGAAGGAAGGAGGAGGAGGAGGCTAGGAAGATTAGGTGATATTGATGAAAAATATCTGAAGTGTTGCAAGCAACCAGCTTCTTTGACAAGACCAACAGCCTGCAATAATGACGAATGAGATCACATTTAATTATAAATGCCTCACCTCTATAAGAAGAACAGAGCAGGAAAGGCTAAAAGCCACACAAAAAGGGAGCTTAAAGGGAATTTAAATTAGTTAAGTGGCACACAGAGTTAATCCTTCCTCAGCCTACTGGTCATTCATGAAAATAGTCTGCTGATGTCATTTCATTCATTCGTGATCAACTGCAAAAACATGCCTTGCATTCTCGAATATAGGGTCTCTGAGGTTTCAGGGTGCTAGGAGACCGGGGCAGTGAAATCGACACAAATGCACATGGAAACTTAGCCTGGAAACTAACCACCCCCCCACCTTTGAAAAAAAGGTTCAAACAATGAATGAAAAAAGAGAAATTTTCCTGTGACATTTCAGATTCATTATGTGATTCTCAGATTTTCTATTTCTAAATTCCTATGTAAATTCCAGTTTGTAAATTTCATATCACAGGTGGCCCTGAAAGAATTAAAGATACTTGAAAACAGTTGGCGCTGGCTTTTTCCCATTCATGCCATGATCATGAAGTGTTTTGGGTTCACTGCAGCATTTTATCTTTAAGTCTCTTCTTGAGATTATGCAAACTGGCTGTTTGTCAGCTTTTGCTATCCCCATTTTGACAGCTACCTTTAAGGGGGTAATTCCTTCAAAATGCCCCTGTGGTACCTTGGAGATGCTGCTTGTGGTTGCTAGGCAGTTTTCTTTACTGTTTTATTCCCCTAATTTTTGCAGATACTTGCACAATACTAGACACTACATACCTGTACATTATCTTCTAAATATAAATATGTTTGTGCATTTAATCTTCTAAATTCCACCTTAAAATGTAATTTTAACATCAACAGCTGTCAAAAGTTCCTGTTTCCACAAATGGGGTGGCTTGCCTTTTGTATATTTCCATGGTGGTAGAATCTCAGGAACAAAACCAAAGACCCCTTTGGACACATAAATCTGGAAAAGACTACAAAGCTCATGAGGAGCTTGCTGTGAAGAGAGTGAATAAGCCACCACCTTCTTTGCGTGAGCTAAAATCACTTGCAGCTTTGGTTACATTTGTTAGCCTGCCTTTTGACAGCTTTCAGATGGAAACAAAGGGAAAAATTAACTCATTTGTGGCATCTGTAGGATAATGACCAGAGTGGGGACTTGCTATACTTTGCTAGCATGTCCTACACCTGCACGCTTTGCCTACCGAAGGCTTTCCATTCCTGTACTTGCACAAATGCGGCTATCTACAGTTGTGCAAGAATAGGTACAAATTATTACTTTTTTCTGCAATTAAGTGTGAAAATTGAGGAGGACTGTGCTCTAAATGCACAGTATAGGCAGAATTCAGTGCTGCCCAACTGCTGATGCATTGCTAGTGTAAATTAACTCCATTCATATGGCGACAGCATAAGCTGGCTCAGTAGGTTTGCTCCAGCTTATGCTACTACAGTACTGTTGGAGTACTGATAGAATAGTGTATAGTTAATCAATAGTGTAAGCAGACCGGCAGTGCTGGTGACTATTCTCTATCTAAAGAGCCTCCCTCTAGAAGAACTTCCGGCAATTATTTAGGAAATATGTTTTAAGCTAGGTTTTGCTTTTTTCCTAGACCCAAGCTAGGCACTTACCATACAAGGTTAGCCACAGCATATTTAGGGATCTTAAGAAATCCCAAAGAGTTTACTTGAACATTGAATACTCTCTTTGTTCTTTCTTCCATCTGCAAGGTAATTTTAACATCATCTGGCACAAGCTGCTTTTAATTAAGACAACATGATAATTTCATTTTCACAATAATATTGACTGACCCTACTTAAGACACACTGAGTTATAAATGACTGATGCTAATGTGCTGATTTTGTGTCAGACACACATTTTTCATTTTTCTTCTAAGTTCTGCACTGTCAACCAATGAAAGAAGCATTCATTCATTTATTGAATGCATTGGCCAGTTAATTAATAGGTTAAATTTGCACAACTCTGCATGTGATAAAACTAATATTTCTGAAGGGAAGGCACATGCATTCTGAACTAGGAATGGAGCCAAACAGCAACTGTGCAGCCTGCTCTGAAATGCCTGGTGTGATGACGGGCCCCACCCTGGTGGTGGAGGGTGCTGTTCATGCACCTTCCTTGCCAAAATGTAAATTGAGGACCAGAGGTGGATCAGGCATGCAAGAGAGCTCAGGCCTCCATTTAACTCCTTAACCTGTTTCACAAGTGGCAAAGGGAGGGCACTCATCAATTCAACAGGTGGAGTCAAAAAGAGAGGGAAGGAGAAGCATTTGCTAAAATGATGCCCAATTAATAGGAAAGAGAATTTTAAAAATAATTAGTTAATTGGATTGATTACTGAGTTAAGTACTGCAGACTTATTCTCTCTCTCTCTCTCTCTCTCTCTCTCTCTCTCTCTCTCTCTCTCTCTGTATTCTCATTACATATGAAATGTAGATTCTTTAACATAATAATAGATGCACCTAACACAAGCCTAATATAGTTAGATTAAATTCTATGCAATATAGCATTTTGGTGTTTTGTTTTACCTGCTATTTTATTATTGCTTTACAGAAAACTCAGGTATTAGCTTATTTCTCTTAATTGGACCATTTTTTACCTTGTATGATCATTTTTTCTCAGATCCATTCAATTCTGGACAATTATTAGTTTTTACAGACCAAAGTACTGAGAACAAATTTATGTTCTCATATCTGAGGCATCTAAGGAAAGTTACATGATAGTTAAACAATGGATCTCTCCAAGCTCCAACTTCTAATACCTGATTTTATGTGTCCCTTATATAGCAACTACACATTTATTTGAAATATGATCCTAGAGACATTGGGCCTAAGTTGTAATTACCTTTTTTCTTTCTTCCTGAGACAGGAAGGCACATTTTAAATACAGTCCTTTCAATCTAACACAAACATAACATAAAGCCTACAACCTCTTAATTTACAGGAAATGCAGACCTACAAAATGGCATAATGCAAACAACAGGAAACCCAAGCCTCTTAAGATGCCATCGTGGCTCAACAGTTCATCCCCTGACTAATTTGCTTTTAATGAGGATATTATAGGCACTGTGAAAAAGAGAAACAGCGATGATTTGGTATTCTTAGGGGCTGCTTGGCTTTAGAACTGCACACTTCTTTACTGAATACCCTTGAACTTAATCCAGGATTACTCAAACGCATGAGAATTGTTGGCAGACTGGAAACAACATCCCTCGCTCTCCCTTTGTATTGTAACCTTCATCACGGTATCAGCTTGCAGTGAAACTTGAATATCCTAACGGGATTAGACATGAAAGAAAAGAGTCTCAGGACTGGACTTTCAACTGAAACCCTGCTGTGAGAAAGACCACGCCACTGTCTTTGACCTTTTCCTTCCTATGCAGGAGTCCAGTTGTGCCTAGTCAAGTGTCTAAAGAAGACCCCATCCATTTGCTCTCTGTTTATCCTTTTGCTCCTAGAACAAGTGTCTGGTTACTAAAGAGAAAAGAGCATGGAAGTCTCTGATCTTTGGCACAGGCAAACCCAGCCAGCGTGAGTAATGTACGCCAGTACAGAAAAATACACTGTCAATACAATATTGCAGCTATGAAGAATTTCTTGTGGGAATTGCCCTTGTAAACTCAGATTTACAAAGCATCATTAGAAACTTTACATGATACAATCAATCATTTCTAAAATGTAGTAGCCACACAATTGCTAATGTTTCTTGGGGTAATAAACACACAAATAGAATGAAAGAGCAGCAATCGATTCAAAGCCTCATAGGCTAAAACAAAGGTAACGAGAAGTGGTATTTGTAAAGGGGAGTTGCTCCCCAAAAGGGTGTGCCTTCATTAGAATTAAAATAAAATACTGGCTGGGGTCCAAGGAGCTTGTTCAGGCAAACCCAAAGGCTTGGCCATGCCCAGTGGGATTCCCACCTTTAAACAGCAGACTCCTGTACCATATCACTAACTGCTTTCAAAGTTGGCTTTCAAAGCAGTTTGCAGTACAGCATAGAGGCCTGCATTGAAGTAACACAAACTCGAAGTTCCCTTCGATACATGGAAGTAGTATTACATGGAAGTAGACATATTTAAAATTACTTGTGAAATATCCACAGATCATCCCACTAAATCTCCTCTTTTTATTATCACCTTCAAAATCTTCCTAATTTGGAGCATTTATAATACAGTGAGTTGAATGGAAAATATATTCTGACAATGAGGTGTTTTCTTTTAAAAAAGGAAAGGTCACTTATATTACTCAAGCAGTCAAGAAAATGATCTTGGAAGTCTTTTCCGAGTTTTGCCTGCAGAAAGAGTTTAGGCAAGTAGGAAACATCAGAGAACTGGTTATCTATCCAACTTTCCCCCACCTGGAACCCTTCAGATCTGCTGAATGACAAGTCATAGCACCTTGGCATGCTATATGGGGATGACTGGGAGTTGTCCTCACCTGGTCTACATTGACCGGCAGGGTTTCCAACCTATGAGAACTTTGGATGGAAAGTTTACTCTCTAGCACTGACCTACAGCCTTTATTCTGGTGTCTAGTCAAACAGGCAATCGTCCATGTGCACACTGAGATGCATCTGCCCATCAACAGGCTGAAACTGAGAAATAGTTGTAGGAAGGAAAAAGATTGACCAAAACATCAGAACCACCAAACCTTGAAGACACCTGAATAATGAATGAAGGAAAAGACAATAGAGGAGGCCTTGAAACAGATTTCCAATTTCTTCTCTTACACGGCAACACGTGAAATGGTAAGAGTTAAGGGTAAAAGTTTTGTTTTGGTAAAAGTATGTAAAAATTACCTGTACAAAACCACACAACATGTGGTCATCAAACAATGGCAAGCTTGGGCGGTCTTCTCGGTAAATGATGATTTTATAGATGCTGACAACTTCATGGAGTGCTTGAGATTCATATGTTACCAGAATATTTACTCTGTTTATTCCAAGTCCAAGAGGGTAATTTGCATCACTGTAAGATATGAGTAGTGAGGTTGAGGGAAAGGCAGGCAAAATAAAATGTCAATTAAAAAAAACCCTAATTTTATATATCAGTTCATGCTATAAGTATCCCAGGTCATAAGACTGTTGTTAATTTTTTTAAATTTCCTTTACAGATGGTGGATAAACTTACAGTGATATGCCAAGCTATCTTTCTGTTCTCTCCTTATTTCCCCATATTGCTACTAATATTTCCAACTGTTTTACACCTACATCTGCCTGGATATAAGATCATTATCTCCAACTCCGTATGCAGAAGACAGAATTCATGGCATCTCTTCCTTAAACTTTATATTCACTTTCCTTTTCCCCTCTTGGCATCAACACATTTCCATGTTATCTTTGACCACTGGCCTTCTTTCTTAGTTTATATTTCTGTTATAGTTATTGCTTGGCAATTCTCTCTATAATATTTTAAAAAGTTGTTCTGTTTTATTAACTAATTCCACTAGGTATTATCATATGTGCTTACTGCTCTTTCATTATTTTCTCTTCAAACTTATTTTTGTCTCAACTCTTCTCCTTTGTTAAGTCCCCCCCCCCCCGTTTTTTGCACCCTTTGCTTCCACTATATCTTCCTATTATGTTTTAATGTCTTTCACACAGCAATGCTAACATGGTTGTAGTAGGGAGTCCATGGAGGTCCATGTGCCACTTAGCATAGAATCATAGACTAGCAGAGTGGGAAGGGGCCCATGAGGCCATTGAGTACAACTCCCTGCTCAATGCATCTTTGGCCCCGCCAATTCATCCCAGGAAGGCTGCTAGCTTTTTGCTGTTGTTGTTCTTCCTTTTTCCACCTTTTTCTGGAGGTATGCTGGGAGAGAGAGGAAACCCAGGAACCTGGAGATTCCTAGCCACCTCCTACAGGACCAAGATCAAGAGTAGGCCTGGTCAGGCACTGCCAAGTGCCCACAATCCAGCAGGGACCCACTGCTCCAAGGCTCCTGGAGTTGCTGTCTCCCCTCAAAAACCTGGAGCCAATACTGACCAAAACCCTTGCAAGCCACCCGAGAGCCATATAATGGAGTCCTTAACATGTAAGACTCTTTAGGGTCTTTCTGGGAGAAGGTGCAGAAACAGAAGCATACATAATTTCTTTCCTGTGAGGAAAGGCTAAATCATGTGTGGCTTTTTGGTTGAGATAAAAATGGTAACTAAGGGAGGTTGTATAAGTTTTTGATGTTCAGCATGTGGAGAATATGGACAGAGAGACTTTTGACTGTCTCTTATAGCACAGTAAACCTAAGGTGATCCCACAAAGTTGATGGGGGGTGGGAGGGATTCAAAGACAGACCAAAGAAAGTACTTATTCAGTAACGCATAGTTAATTTACACATGATATGGTGACTGCCATTAGCTTAGATGGTTTTAAATGAAGCAAAGGCAACAAGCATGAAAGGACTATTGATGGATATTAATCATACAATTACTGTGCAAATCTTCCATCTTCAGTAGCAACATCAGGCCATTGCCTTCATAACCTGCACATGAGCATCCTGGGGGCACCGATTCAGTCTTTGAGAACCAGGTTCCTGGACTAAATGGAACCCTGTTCTGATGCATTAAGGATCCTTTTCTGCTCCCCCCACCAATCCATCTTGTTGCTTTCTTTGTATTCAGATGCTCAGCTTCTCCATTTACCAAATGCTCTTATTCTTACTATACCGCAAGAGGTATTTCATCTCTGTCTTTAGTGTTGTAACCCCTTATGTGGAAGTCTACCCATTCTGTTGACTGGCTTTCTATCTGTCTTATTTTAAGAAACCATAAAACCCTCCATATTCTTTTTCTTTTTTCACTGAATATGTTTTCCTTGTATTATAAACAACCCTTAATACAATCTCATACTTGTAGCATTAAATTAGAATCATTGTTTTAAAAAAATCTATTTTTTAAAAAAATAACACCAATTATTTTGTTGGTTTTGCTTTGCCCCACAATATCATATCAGCAAATTGCTTTATACCAGTGTAGGAGAACTAAACTTTACAGAAGAATAACACGGTGTCACTAGTCATATGAAAGCTGACCCAATTTTCACCAACACTGGGTTCTGTTATAAAAATTTAGATGACAGAGGTTATTTCTAAATATAGAATTCAGCTTCAGTTTGGTCACGACAGCTGACAAGATGGTTGTCAATGTTGCCAAAAGAAGTTTGAGTCAAAAGAGATTATATGTGTCAGCTGGGTCTGGAAATCGCTGGCTCTCCAAGCATGAAAGGCCATTGAACCAATCAGTTGTGGAGACAGTTTTGTTCTGATGGAGACTAGAAAGGCTAAGAAGAAGGAGAAAGTTTCTCTCATATAGACCCATCAAGAACATAATGCCATGTCCCTGTATTTTCTTAAAATTTGGTGATCATTCATCAGTCATTGCTGCCATTTTTCCCCTTTTAGTAGCAAGTGATGTCATGACTTTCCTAACAAAGAATCCTACTTCAGCAAGAAGCAGATCATACATTAGATATTGGACACTAAGATAGCATTCATAAGTGTGAGTTTTATGAAAGGCATTGCCTTTATGCCACAAAGAATTGTTGCACTCCATGTATTACCAATATTCCAACTCCCTGCAACCTCCCAGGATGAAGCAGGATTTCCATTCCAGTGATGACCAAAGTCACCATTATTTAATTTAGTTAGGATGCAATTCAATGCATGCTGAGATTGAAAAACATATTAAAATTCCTAGCATTACCCACCCAGCCAAGTATCCTGGATTGAACATCAGGCAATTATTTGTGAGAACTCTATGAATGCAAACATAAATTAGCTATATTCAGATAATTAGCTACAAGGTATTGGATCCAGATGTGATCATAACTAGGACAGGCCCATTGATTTCTTCTCTATGACTAAGTCTGGATCTAATCCACTATATGTAAAGAGAAACGTTTACATATATATGAGACTGCATGTCCAGACAGCCATTCCTAATTTTACCCACCAAATTATGTTGGAAGAGGATTAGATAGAAACGTTTCCTGCTGCACATGAAGGCCCTGTGGGATCATCTGGATTGCAGTTAAGTGGCTTTGAGCGACCCTCACACTTTATCTGCCTTGTTTCCCACAGGAAAAAATAGTTTAGTTCTGTGGGGTAGATTGACTTCAGATTGCCAAATTACACATTGGTAATTGACTGATACCTTTTGGAAAACGAATACGGACTCTTGATGAGAGAAGGCTCTCTACGCACATTTGGCAACTTTATTCCTGCAGGATTCCTGGCAGATGCACTTATGTACAGTCTGTTTTTGCACAGGGGTTATAAAACGGTGCAAGGGAAATAACGGGGTCAGGGTTTGCTGCTGTGATTTTGCCTTCTGGGCATATTGACTGTGCAAAGATTCAGCCAGGCAAAGAGTTCTACAGAAGGGAAGGCCGCCACAGGTGTGCAAACTTCAACAGAAGTACTGCTTGAACGGAAAACATACAAAGGAGGAGTACGCAACATGTCCCACAGGCCACAAGTGCTCCCTTGAGTTTTTATATTTGTGGCCCCTCAGCACCTCTGCCACTGAGGTGGCACTGGTTGCTTTAAGACAAGGTGCATGGGGAGCGTTATTTTATCTGAAAACAAAGCAAGCCCTCTCCTCATCTTGTTTTAAGTGGAAATGGGTGTGTGGGGGGAGGGGGTGTACTGTTGAGAATTTCAGCAGCAATTGTTCCACCAGGAAAGGATATGCCCCCAATGTTGGGTTCCGGAGGGAGAACCGGGCCCCTAGAGTCACTAAGGTTGCCCATCCCTGCTGAAGAGGCTGCTTCACATGGCATTTCTGAAACAGAGCATGCTTTTTTTGGTGCTAAAACTGGAAAAAACTGGAAAACTGGTTTAAAATGGAAAGCTGCCCAAAAGAATGGGGAGCTGATTCCTCAAACAGGGTGTCTGCTGCCTCTGCAGAATGGCATTTTAAATGGCTACTGTGTCATGGCTGCATACAAGCATTTTGATAGCTCTATTCCTTGCCCTGAGCAGAACAACCCATTACCCCAAATACCTTGGTCCTTTCTTCTCATCCAGGTGAACATCACACTGACAATTTACTGGCTCTGCTCTAATCTTTACTGTTACTACATCAAACGGGACTTCAGAATAGTATTCCTTTATCTTTGGGTCAAAAATAGGATTTAAGTCCAAAGGTGGACTGGTGAAGATCTGCCTAATATACGGAAGAGTATCTTTATCTGTTAAAAAAAAGAAAAAAAAATTCCAATTAAAACTCAAGAATTAGTCTCTTATTCTTACCCACATTTGATTTAATGTTCCTTTGCATATGAAGATCGGTTCATTTTTGTTGTTGTTTTAATAAGCAAATTCCACAATTCTTCCTTTAAGGTCACCTTTAGTATGGATTATATATATAAAAAAGAACACTTTGTATGGATTATAGTGGGAAAAACTTTCTCCATTGATTAATCAAAGCATTTGTGAAGCTGATAATAAGGAAAAAATATATAATGATTGGTGGTCATCAGTAATAGTTTTGTACTTTTCAGCTTTTGAAAGTTTCATATTATGTTTTCTCTTGTTGCTGTATTTTTATGGTTTTAGCTTTTGTGAAGAGGCCAGAGAATTTCAGCAACTGGGTGGCACAGAGGTTTAATAAATAAATAAATAAACAGCTATATTAGAAAGGAATAATATAGTCTAGAATATGACTATTCTAGACAATAGTCTGCTTTTTCTTACATTTATAACTCTATTAACAGATCTATAAATTCATCCTAAATATTTATTTTACCTGATCAACTGTAAGCTACCAAGAGAAAAGTAAAAAGGGAAAGAAAAATCTTTCCTCTAAGAAGGATATAAAAAAATAGGATACAATTTTGTTGAACTGGCGCCATCTATTGCCAAAATCATAGGTTTAGTCAGTACAGATTAGACTTACCATAACTGCAGTGCATTTCTTTAGCCAGGTTTGGAAAACTAAATCCTAAAAGGTAAACAAACACAATTTAGGATAGTCTGTACTATATCTGCTGAGATATATGCATCTGAGAAACAATGCAAACATTACAGCACATCCACAGACTGTTAAAAAACTTACTATTATCATTAAGTTTTCTAGAAAACTACACTTTGTCTGTCTTCAGCCTGGTCATAGAGGAGGGCAGCCCTGTTGACAGAGCAGCAAGAATGGATTCTTTCAATAAGCACACTAAGGACTAGATACTTTCTTGAGATTCATGGCCAGACTGAAAATGCAACATGTACGAATACAAAGTCATAAAGTTCCACTATCTATAAACACACACACACACACACACAGATATAGAATAGGGTACCATACATGCTGAGCAAATCCAATCTATGTTAACAGTGTTCTCGGCTTAATTAGAAAACAAACTAGGCAACTTTTCCAGTAATACAGTAATGTTGTCAACTAAACAGTAATACATAAAACTGATTGCCTTTGCCAGGAAACTTAGATATTGCAATATAATAAGTTCTCCTCTAACATTGCAATAGAAAATGCAATATAATAACCGTCTCTAAATTATGGTCTGCAAATTCTCTGAACCACAAAGACAGCAGGGTTTCAAGGAAGAATTCTTATTGAATATTCTGTTTAGCAAGGCAGATGGTTAAACATTCAGATTGGCCAATGTAAACACCATTCAAAGCTTATAAACTTGGCCATTTCGTAGATAGTTAGCCCCTTTGATCCCAACTGGGAATTAAATGCCAAAAATAGGAACAGAATTGAGCTGCTAAGGATATCAGATGTTGCTGTAGAGTACAGTACAATCTTAACAATAGATGACCTTTGGCTTTTCCTTGCTCAGAGAAAAATGTTCAAATTGAGAAATATCAATTTCTACTATTTTAGAGTGCACAGTTGTCACCTGGCTATTTCTGTAGGAATCTTGCCCCATCATAGAACTGTAGCAAAAGTCCTGTTGGTCAAAATACAATTAAATCCACTATGGAGGTTAATTTAATTTCTAAGCCAAACATTAATTACATGTTAGCCATGCACTTAAGGACTCCCAGGGAAAAGTGACTGGTAGGCTTCAGTCTCATTAGTTATGCCCTGTAACCGAATGGCTATTCCATATGAGAGCATAATTTTAGCATAAAATACCTGTAAAACCGTATATATTAATCAAGTACCCTTGGAAAAATAGAAACTTCAGAAAGGTAGTATGTGCCAATAAGCTGTAGATCTTTGAAGACTCCATTTTAATGTATGATTAAACTAAAGACCAAGCTACTTATGCTAACATCCTTGTTCAATTTGGTTTCCATTGGCAGCCCAATAATATAATTTTCTGTTTAGAAAAGGCTAAGAACTGAGTTTCGGTGTGATTTATAATCAAATAATTAATGTAACAATAATGGGCAAATGCCTTCAACAAATATACTCCCAGTCTTGATTGTGGCAATAAGACGAAGTCACACCGATGACGAAAGTGAAGCTAGCGTTCAGCGGTGCCATTTTTGTGCAGCTATGTGGTCAAATGTGTTACAGCCAATTCTGGTCTAATTTAAGTCCCATTCATGTCAATGGATCTACTCTAAGTAGGAGTAAAAGCACTGGCTGCACTAATGATAACTTCTGTGAATCCATCTATGAGGAAGCATAGTCATGACCTTTCAATAGATGCTCTCAATATGAGCAGTCTCCAATTTCTTCCTACCATTTCAAACCCTTTATTGATTTACAGTGGACAGATGAAAAAGCACATGAGATGCTGCTACATGAGCAGACTTTAAATGTTTAGGTGTGTTATTTGGTTTATGAAAGAATCCTAAGTACCATGACATTTCTTTTCAGCAAATAACATTAAAGTGATGAAAAATACAAATCAGGTTACCTTTGTGTTTTTCAACAACCGTGGAAGACACTCTTGTTTTAATTATATCCTTTCCGGGGTAAGAACGCCTAACAATGAAACAGTGAATGAAAGAAAGGAATAAGAATACATCTAAAAAGAAGTGCCAAGACAGAACTTGCAAATGCTATTGTTCTTTCTGCTGTGTAATATATAGCTGTAAGGTGCTTTGCATTGTTTCTAAGGTACTTTTCTTCCACCATAATTACTTTGGTAACTGCTGACATTAATAAGATGCTGGAATTGTTCTGCAATAATAAAAGTACCAATAAAGGAAATGGAGCTTGACCTTAATAGATGGTATTAATTCCAATAATCTTTATGGGGGAAAAGTAATATAATTAAAACTACTATGGATCCTATCTGTTTTTCACGACATTCTACTATTAATCATGTAGAAAATTTTTATGGGGTCCACACTTAAGACTTGTTATTGCATATGCTAAGCTGCATTTGCCAGAAGTTCCATCTACCCCTCATTTAATGTCACTTGATTATTTTTTATTATTATTGGAGCAATGAGATGGTCAAGTTAAATGAATATTAATTAGTGCTTCATTCATGCAGTCATTCATTCATTCATTACATTTTCATACAGTCCAGTAGCTTAAGCTCTCTGGGCAGTTTATCAAGATTAAAACCTTTAAAATATGTTATTAAAATGTCTTATATTTGCAGGGATGGGTATAGCAACAATGAGCCCACAGTTTAAACAGGCCATAATGTACTAGCCCAACAGTGGGGAGTGGGATCCTGGTATTCCTAGGTGGACTATACTAGAAATCCTTAACTATAACTCTTTGTTCAATATGTCTTTCTGTGCTACTTGTCTGGCTGCTACTTCCCTTGTCATTACAGCTGTTTGGCCATGTTGGTTCCCATGTGCTGATATTATCATTCAAAACATATTACATTCTACTGAAACCAATATGAGGATTGGGCTAGCCCAGTTTGTTTCATAGAATCTCATGAACAATACTTCCTTAGCATTCCAGGAGCAGAGAGATAACGCAAATGATCAATGCTTGAATGGAATCTGCCACTCAGAATCTGAATAAAACCATCCCTATTTCTATTGTAGTGTAGTGGTACACAAAGCAATTATAATATATAGAGAGCACTCAAGGTGATGCTCTTTTGTGATGCTATATTAGCAGGAGATATTTATGTTTCCCGATCTGACTTTGAGTGATATATACTCTTTTTGTTTTATGCAAGCTATTTTTAGCATTCTTCCTATATACCTAGGATGGCCAGATGCAAAAGAAGATGATGCTCCAATAAATTTAATAGATGTGTGGAAAGGATTTTAAAAAAATAATATTCCACCCTCAGCCAATTCAGTTTGTACACATGGAAAATGCATGGCTGCACACAGGAAAAGGTCTTAGACCTAGTCCTGCTGGGCTTTAAGAAATGATGAGCAAACTGGAGATGCTTCTCACCTTCTCAGCCTGAGTTCCTCAGAGAAGATTGTTTGGCACTGCTGCAAGCAGGATGCTTAATTGGATCATTTGATTTGATTTATCTAAGCAATTCTCACATCCTGGCTATTGACCATGAACAATTTTTGCACTCATTATTGCATCTGATAAGTAATTCAAGCTGCAGTCCTGTACACACCTTCCTTCTTAGTGGAGCTTACCTTTTCGTTGACATTTACAGGATTGCATTGATTCTGAAGCAAATGAATGGAGTTACCCAGCAGAGTCGCATGTGCGACTCCAATTCCTTTTGATACGTTACAAGCTTTCTGTTATCCACTTTACAATTCTCTATATAATTTATAGCCCCTGAGGAAATCATCATCCTTGTGTGTCACCACAAACTTGGCTGTTGTCAGGAAGAGCAGCCAAGTCCTTGTGTCTCATGGGTTGCCATGCACCATGCAAAACACTTTGACCCCAAATAAGCAACCTGCTCTTTCTAGGAGCAGCCAAGCCCATTGATGCCTGCATCTCTACGGTCATCTCCACTATGAGAGTGGAGACAAGTGCAGAGATTCCCCTTGTGTGACTGCCAGCCTAATGGGTGGAAGAGCGGAGTGCAACAAGTCCCTGCTGTTATTTTGGATCTCAGATAGGAGATGACAGTGGCAATTTCTCTGTGGTTGGAGATCAAGCTTTGGAGGAACCTACGGCACTGCAGGTCAGCCTTTGGAGCACCCCTGCTGTAAATCCATAAGTACAATAAATTACTAACTTACCTTCTTGGAATATTTGTGTGTACTACTTTGTTAATGACTTGCAACTGTTCCAGTAGGTTTGAAAGGAGCCAATGCAAAGCCAGGATTGAACCTAGCTTTTCCTCCGGATTCACCATGCGATAAAGGTCATGCAGCAAAAAATGGACCTGAGGAATAGCAGAGGGGAAAAGCTGGAAGAAAAATTAATACAGAACAAATTATTAAAGGCTTGAACACACTTATCTGCATTTACTTGTTTTACTAATTTACAAAGCATATATTTTTTCTCTCCTACAGGGGAGAAGCAAACCATGGCAATCAAAAGGTGGGTGGGGAACTTCACATTAACAAAAGAGATTCATTACAAAACAGGACTATGCATGTGACTCACCAGTTCAAATTGCCCTATATTCTGAAGCTCTTTTACAAAACTGATCAGTGGGTTCAGATGTTCCAAAGTCAGACAGTGCTCTGATTCCTTCCAGGGATGCTCATTCTGTGAAAGGACAGCAGAAGCTCATACACAGCAAGAAAAGCCTGAACTTGGTCAAACAACAATGGGGTCCTATGATGAAGCATGTCCTGAGCCAGACAGCTCTTGCTGTTGCTATGGCATCATCTGAAATAAACGAGTTCTAGAGCCATGCTAGACTGTACCACTTCTCACTGCTTGTGCATATGTGGGAGAGAAGGGCTGCAGGAGGAAACAAGATCTACGAATACAACCAAAAGTTCAGCTTAGTTTTTCATTTATTTTGCTATCTGTTTCTATAAACAGTGACTTCTTTTTCTTTTTCTTTTTCTTGTCCTTGTCCTTGTCCTTGTCCTTGTTCTTCTCCTTCAGGAGGCATTCAGATTTACAACTGCCTACATACAGACAGAATTAGCACAATCCAGGAGAAGCTTTACCACTGAATTCTGCAGGTTCTCCATATTTGCACTAGAGCACACCAAGTTAGTGAAAACAATGAATTGCATTTAAAATTGAGCATTAGATGCAAAAATGCAATTATCTATGTATAAAGAGGCCTGGCATAACCCACCATTTGGGCAACCTGGCCTCTTTTCCTCAAGATAGGTTCTCTGTAGTTTTCCTATTTTCCTGCCTGGTGCAGATAGCTAATGTTTTTCTTCCATATAGTGATGGAACAGATACCATATTCTGAATTGTGAGGAGTTTGAAAATGCTACAACATTAGAAGCATGGTGAGCCCACTGTATGCTCAGGAGCCTCCAGATAACATCCGCACATTTCCAAAAGCCCGATGCACACTGCACCACAGCTCAAAGGATAACCCAGCTGTGAGTGAAAAACAGTATGATCTACTAGCAGTACACTAATTAGTCACAGGACCATAATCAGTAGCTAGCATTAACTAGAGAAAATGCTTCTGCTGCAAATTAGAGGCCAGACGTTGGATAACTTTCTGGGATAAATAGGCTCATATCAGCATTAACCATGGTTAACACTGGTGCCAAAGTCACCACGGTTGAGGGTGGCAGGGGGATTTTTGTGGTAAAGAAGTGCCGGGGGTGGAAGGAAAGCAATCTTACTCCCAGATATACAGTAGAAGACAAATACAAAGGTATTTCTACTGGATGTTTTGATTCATTCAGGTGAGGGGATGGTGAAGAGAATCCACCCTTGAGAAAAGAACCTTCAAGGTGAGGGAACAAATACCCCCAAGGCCTATTCCCAGTCTTCTAACCATTGTTAATGGTGTTATGTCTGCCTTGACCCTGGATTTAGAATTTCCAGAGGTATAAAAATGATAGGTACATCTTAATGGAATATGATTGAAACCTGAAAATATGTAAAATAATAAGACTACTGATTTCAACTCTCCAGCTGAGCCAATTACAATATTTAATGCTTTTTGCCAGCAGGTGAGACACTTTGATTAGACTTATTGCAATTCAAGTACAGTGGTATAGCAAAATACAGCAAGAGGCTTTTGTGAACAGATGCTCCGTGTTTGGCCCTCAAGAATTGTTCTGTGCATTCTTTTGCTGCTCCTGTGGAGTTATGACACACTCATGCCACTTTAAAACAGTGGCAACCTAACAGTCCTGGTAAATAAATGGCATTTATTATAAAATTAGGGTATATTCACACATACCCTAAGTCCTGATGATTGATATACATTCCGTAAAGCCACAAGGAAAGCAGAAGAGGAAACCTGATTTGATAAGAGAATTCTGAAAGCGTCATCCAGAAGAGTTTCTTTAAAAGTTTGGTCCTGGTAATCTGAATCTTCATCAGCTTCAAAGTCAAAGTGTTCATGTATCTAGGAAGTGTAGACATCATTTTTGTCAAAATCATTGCCTGCAACATCTACAGAATGACTAAAAATATGGAAATCATCTAGAACTGTTTGTTTGGGAATAATGGACATGAGAATATGTACATTGGCTGGGAACATAGGAACCCTATGTGTAAAGAAAGGTGCATCCACACTTGGAACACAGGAAACTTCTTAAACCAATGATCTTACATCAGACCATTGGTCTATTCAGCCCAGGACCATTTACACTGTGGACTAGGCAGCACATGACCCGTGGATGGCCACCCCCTGCCCCCTGGTGGCCACTACCCACCATCCCCAGGCCAATTGCAGGAGTGAAAAAATAAATATTCTTCCAAAAAATGAAAGAGACAGATTTAGTAGTACATAGTGGTTTAGTGATTTTTGTAGTAAATCTCTAATTTGTTGTGTTTGCTTCCAAGTATGGTCCATGGATGGAGGGGGCAGCTTTCGGGAGGCATAAATGAACTCCCCAAAATCTTCTGCAGTTATTCAGCACTGATCTACATTGACTGGCAGAACTTCTCCAGGGTGTCAGGCATAGATCCTTCACAACTGTACCCAAAGATATCAGAGCCATCTGCATGTGAGCAAGTGCTCTGCTGCTGAAGTACAGTCCTGTCCCTAAATGTAAGAGGAGTCTCCAGAGTTTAACATTTATTTAACATTTATTTTATGCATTTTATTGCAGTGTTTTGGCTCAATGGGGCCTTCATAGAGGCTATCAATCACAAAACAGTACATGAATGAAACCAGGCTCATATTACAGTAAGAAAAATGAGCACCCCCATTTCTATAAAATGTAGCAAAATAGAATATGTACCAATAATCAATACAATGCAGCTGTGGGGACATGGCTGCTGCTGAAATTCACATCCTGACTTTAGCCTGAAACGGGCATAGAGAAGTGTCTGATGAGTTTTCGGATAAAGTTGGTTTTGAAGCCAGGATGCTACACCTGCTAAGGCTTTCTCTTGTGTCTCCATAAACTCATCAAGTTTACTTTGCTTGTCGGGCTGTGTCTGTTGCTTTGACTTGGTGCTATAATCTGCTCATTGTAATGTTCTCTGGTCCTTTGAGAACAACTTGGATAAAATTACAAGTGTTTATAAAGGGTGGAATGCAGGCAGTTTATGTCTTTTGACCACTCCCAGATCTACTTAACAAGAACACAGAAAATGTCTTTATATAGCACATAAAAACATTACACTGGGACATTTTGGAAATATAAGGAAAGAATTGGTTTGTGCATGAATGTGGGGAGGTTAAAGCAATAATGGATAATCAAGGAGATCGTGAATGGCTCAATGAGAGAGGCAGAACACCAAGTATCTTTATGCCACATGTAGACTTTCAATATGATTAGAACCATGTGGAATCAACTCACATTCTTTTACATAATGCAACTTGCTTTGTATAATGAAAATTCTCCTATTCAGGGCTATTTAGTTGCTCATGTGAGGAATTTCTTAGATACTTGCTTACCTCAAGGATAGAGGGATGCATGGACTGGCTGAACCCAATGTCGAAGGTTAGCATCTGAAAACACGAACTGCATCTGAAGCAAGGTGACAAATCAAAGTAGCTGATCCCATTTTCAACTTATAAGATAGTAGTAAAATATTTTTTCAGAAAGCTCCCTCCCCTTTGAGTAATGTATGTGGTTTATTTGTTCCCCAATGGCAGCATATGGTTGGGCAGGTGACAGGGTGAGGGTGGGTGAGGCATCAATTGGTAAGGTGGGTATTGCCCATATGCAAAAATAGAGCCTGTTTTTGGCACATTTAAAAGTTGGATCAACTTTCAGCTGTATCCAAGTTCATTTATTTTAATAGGTCTACTCTAGGTAGGACTAATACAATCCTTACAAGAAACTTGGCATGTTCAACCCTGAGAAAAGAAGAGTGAGGGATGACATGCTAAGTACCTGAAAGGCTGTTACAAAGAGGAAGGTCAAGATCTGTTCTTGCTGATAGCAGAGTGCAGGGCACAGAATAATCAAGTCAAGCTGCAACAACCCAGATTCAGACTAGATATGCAGAAAAGCTTCCTCACTGTCAGGGCAATATGCCAGTGGAACCAGTTGCCAGTGAGGTGGAGGGCTCTCCCATGCTAGAGACATTCAGAAAGAAACTGGACAGCCATCTGAGTGGGATGGTGTAAATTGGTATCCTGCAACAGCAGGGGGTTGGCCCTTTCCAACTCTAATGTTCTATGATTCTGTGAAACAATAAAACTGGTTTCAGAGGGCGTATTCAAAAAAAACACTTTTGTGTGTGTGCTAGTTTCTGTTTTTGCTGTCACTTTTACAAAACCATTTAATCTAAGCTCTTTCAAAAAAAAAAAAATCCATGTAAAGACTCCAGTTTTGGAATCTAAGGCTGTTTCACAGCAAGAACAAGCATCTGCCAAAGTTATATTACTGACAGGAACAGACAGTTCTCTGATATATTACAAAACTATGCTGTTCCATAAATCTCCAAGTGAATTATACATGCCACCAACAGTTCTGAACTGATCATTTAGCTCCAAACTTGTTGGGACAACAATTTCATATTCAGAGTTCAAACCATCTTACAGAATGGAACCCTAAACATGTGGGTAAACAGCCTGCAGCTTGGAAATGAATGTTGAGTTAAAAACTCAGGCATTTTCCAACTTTGTTATTGTCACAACCCTCCACACAAGTCTAGTTGCTTCCATAAGGACATCAAATTGTGCCAGAAAATACATAATAGTGCTATGCCAGCCAGGATACAAACAACTCATAGTTTATTTGGCATTATATTTGTTTAGATTAAATCCAAATTTTATTGTGGCTCTGAGCACCTCATTGGTTGGTTTAATTACATGCACTTGATTAGTGGCTAGAATGCAGAATTCCAAACCACAAGACATATTTTCATTAATAACAACAGATAGTGCCTAAACTGTTACTGCTGTTCCAATTCTTTTTCAGTCAGCTACACAATGACCTCCCAAAAATTACTTCTAGGCCTATTTTTTTAAAAAATCAAACATTCAAATCTGACCATCAAGAAAGGGCTGCATGGCACCACTGTTTTCTACTCCTTGGGAGGCAAATTCGGTGTGCTCTCATATTGCAAAGGAGAACTCTTCAGCAAATTTAAAATTTGTTCCTGGTCCTCCACTTACTGAATGGAGGCCTTTGGTCCAGATGAAGGTGCTTGGCTGAAAACTTCAGTTATCAACAAGAGTCTTCTTATGGCCTCTTTCACATCATCGAAAGCCTGCTGTGGAGAACTGGCTGCCAAGAAGTTTTCAAAAAAGGTGTGTAGCTGCAAAAGGAAAACAAATAAAAGGGTTCAAAAAACACTGAAGCATATCACATTTCTTTCAAACCTCAGAATTCTCAGCATTTAAGTGTTCATCTTAATGCTGCCATCTCCCAGTTTAAGTAAACAATAGATGAAAAGCCCACTAAGAATTCCAGAAGTAGGAGTCTAAGAGCTTTTCTGCACAAAGCATTTCTTGTGCCCTGGGACTCTTTACTCATGGCTGTTCACAGGTCCTTTAGGTGGCACTGTGATCCTCCAGTGTTGCCACTGTTTTTTAAGAATACTTCCCTGATTTATTTATTTATTTGGAACAGAAGAAATGGGGTATATTTCCTGTGGTTAATAAAAGGTATTTCCCTCCTATAGCACAGCATTCCCTCAAGGTAACAGAAAATCAGGAAAGGAAAGGCATTTTGTACAGAGTTCAATTCTGCGATGAACTGAAACGTAGGCACAACGAATAAGAGCCTTGCGTGGAAAGGTTCTAGAAAGTTTATTCTGTGTAGCTTTTGTTCCTTCTGCAGCTGTTGTCCAGGCATCCTTGGAAATGTGATCAAATGGGGAAAGTATATATCTGGCAATGCAATCAGGATAAATCCAGAAGAGAGCTGGCAGTTGTAGAACTCACTGCTGCTGTATGTTTAGCGGTGGATCATGCATTTTGCCACATGTTTGCGTATCTGATGACAGTGGTTATGCAAAAACTTGGAAAAATGACATGGTGAAACATCCCTGAGCTTCAGTTTAAAATGCTGCAGACTGAACTTTGGATCTTTCTTATTTATTTATTGTATTATTTATTTAGGATATTTCTAGGCCGTCCAATCACTCTGAGTCTCTGGATGGCTCACAACAGACTTTTCTTAGACTTTTCCTCTGGTTCTGTCTCTCTGAAACACATTGTGAATCTTCATACCGCATCCTTTCCCCAGCCTCCTCTTTTTCTTTAGCTATTCTAACGATGAATAGTAAAGAACGTGTTTTTGACATGGCCAACTAACCAGTAAAAGCATATTACAGAGGCAAGACATAATTAATGTACAGAGTTCACTGCCAGAGAAGTAGAAATGACCACTAGATGACTTGTTGAAAAGGAACGGATAATTTCATGGGAGGGTAGGTCTGTCAGTGGCCATTTGATCCATGAAATCTCCATGTTCTAAAGTGAACAAAACTCTTCCTTTCAAGTCATGATGAAAAGGCAAGATGCATTTCTCTCTTACATCTTGCCAGCCTTGTATGCTTTCCAGACCATCTGGCTGGCCACTGTTGGGAAAGATCACTTCAATTAATTAGATCTTCAGTCTTCTTATCATCATAAGGTAGAAAAGAAGGCTGGGAATATTTCTCCTTATAAAGAAGCCTTCCCCAATCTGGGTCCTTCCAGATATGCTGGGCTTTCAGTTTCATCAACTGACAAGGATGGAAGACGCAGTCTTACACATGTAAAAGGGTTCTGTGTGGAGAAGGCTGGTGTAAAACATATGTGTTTTCAGAACTGCACTTAAACAAAGTGGAGTGCTGACAGGGTCCAGTCCTGGGCCCAGTGCTCTTCAACATCTCTATTCATGATTTAGATGAGGAAGTACAAGGAAAGATAATCTGCAGACAATACAAAACTGGGTGGAATGGGAACACCCTAGAGGACAGAATGAAGATCCAGGGTGACCTTGATAAACTTGAATGCTGGGCTGAAAGCAACAGAATGCGATTCAATAGGGACAAGTGCCAAGTCTTCCACCTAGGAAAAAGAAACCAAACTCATCAATATAAGATGGGGAAGACGTGGCTCAACAGAACTGAAAAAGAAAAAGTCCTTGGAGTTATTGTGGACAATAGGCTAAATATGAGCCGACAATGTGATGCAGCTGCAAAAAAGGGCAAACACTATTTTGGGATGCATTAACAGAAGTTCATGAGAAGTAGTTGTGTCCCTTTACTCCTCACTAGACAGACTTTATCAGGAATGCTGTGTCCAGTTCTGGGCATCAAGATTTAAGAAAGATGCAGAAAAATTAGAGAGGGTCCAGAGGAGGGCAACAAAAATAATCCAGGGTTTGGAAACACTGCTCTATGAACAGATACTGAGAGAACAGGGCATCTTCAGCCTTAAGAAGAGGAGCGGGGACATGATATCCTTATATAAGTACCTCAAAGGCTGTCACAAATAGGAAGGTCAAGATCTCTTCTTACTGATGCCAGAGTGTAGGACATGGAATAATCAATTCAAGATGTGGCAACCCAGATTCAAGCTAGATATCAGGAAAAGTTTCCGCACTGTCAAAGCGATACAACAGTGGAAACTGGACAGCCATCTGAGTATAAACTGGTATCCTGTAACAGCAGGGGGTTGGACCTGATGGCCTTCATGGCCCCTTCCAGCTCTACTATTCTATGATTCTATGATTAAATGTGTTCCTTCAGAAGGTGTCCTCTTTTCTTCCAGCCAGGGCAGCACAAATTTTGTGTCTCTTCTGAGCAGTTAGAAGATGTGTGCAGTGGTGGCTTGCAGGGCTGGATCAAGAGTTCCCATTCCATGCCAAATCACAAGCGAGTGAACAGCAAGCATTCAAGCCTATTCCAGGACATCTTCTGATTAGCAAAGCTGGAACCCCACAAATGAGATGAAAACCTTGTAAATGCCCCCTATTTTATGTCATCCTTTCCCTCTCAACACTTTTTCAGTGCTTTTCCAGTTGTCCCTGAACCCAGCTACAGGTCTTTCCGGGGGAAACGAAACACAACGGGCAAAGTAGATAGTCTCTGAGCTTCCACTGTCTCCTCTGTTGCTCTGAAGAATTCATCCTACATTTTGTAGCATGGTAAATCTTGTTTTAACAAAGTGGGTCATAGTCCCTCCTTCCATCACCATAGCCAACACCTGGCTTTTAATTTTCATTATTTGTTTGTTCATTTTGTTTATATCTTGGCTTTTTCCCTGCAAGGAACCCCGGATGGCATATATAGTCCTGCCCCCCATTTTCTTCCCACAACAACTCAGTAGAGTACACTGTGAGTCAGCGAGTGGCCCAAAGTCACCCAGTGAGTTTCATGCCCAAGTGGGGACAAGAATGTGGGACTCTCCAGCCCCAGGCAACACTCTCACAACCACACTGCACTACTTTCTTATTAAGCAAGTCATAACAAGAAAGTAAGGCTTCTCTTTGATCACACTGTCTGATTGTTCTGCTATGGAAGCTCAGTTTAAAAACAGATCACAGCAGTCAAAGGAGATTTAGATTACATTTGTAATGTTCAGCCTAGATGAAATAAAGACTCTAACTAACACACGGATTCCACCTATTGGACGCTGAAAGAACTGGCTACAGGATAACTTGGAAAAGAAATGGAACATAAATATTGCTATGCAAAGAAGACAAGTAAAAACTTTGGTGAAAACTTCAAAAAAGTAGTCTGTACTACTATTCTCTGCACATCACTAATGTATTTCAAGAAGGTGACATCATGCTGAATCATGAATTAAGATGGCTTTTCCTGTATATGTGCAAACCCAATATTTTTTTCAGTATGTCTTAGCTCAAAAGAATTCTTTGCATGAATGAAAAATGTTTCCATTCATGCTGGAATGGGCTTCTGAGTTCCACCAATTCTGTTTTCTGACTACAATTGCCAGCTTTTCAAATACAGTTTGGAAGGGCCTTGGAGGAGCCCAGGAACAGCTCTGGGCATTGCCATGGAGCTATTAAGGATGAACGGGCCTTCTCTGTTTCTGGTCACTGAAGAGCTATTAGAACTTCTGCTGCAGTAGGACAAAAGCCAAAGAAGTTTATTCCACAATAATTTTCTTTCCACTGTCCTTGAACAGTGCACAGGACTTAGTACTATAGCCATAAAGAACGAAAAATAGACCCAGAAAAGTAACTTCAAAGAACACCAAATGCAATTGTGTAGTCATTCATCATTAGGTTCAAGTGCTGACTAGAATGTCATCAATTTTTCCACCATAAATGTATTATTGTGCCTTACCCTCTACTGTTTACAGCTCACTTGGTTATAAATGAAATCCTAGTTGTTATGAAGCAAAAATCTCTGGTTATTTCCATTAAATTGCCCTAAGCATGGGATGAATCACCCACTCAGGATCCAGGTCAGGGTGTAGCTTGCAGCTTACTACATAAATGCCTTAATTAATGTGTTGTAATGCAAGGGTGGATGCTGAGAGCAAATCCATTTTATTGCAGTTCACTGAACTCTCAATTTTGGGTGACACATGGACATCACCCCTGGCTGTCTCTGTTTGGTGGGCTTTTGGCAGCATTTCTAGGGTCCTTGGGGGCATCTACTATTCTTACTCTTTGGGGACTTTCCAAAGGTGGGGTTTCTTCCCTCTTGGGCTGAACATGGCACCTGTTCTTAGTCAAAGGTCTAAATTGCTATTTCTGCATAGAATTCAAAGCTGGTTTACATATGATGAACTGCAATAGCACAACCTGGAAGCTACTAGAAGAACAGTGGCCATGTTTTCTTCATTCGGGATGGCTCCCAGTTGCCAGTTAGTGAAAAGGGATTTATTCCATAGATCCTACATGAGCATCAAGGGAAAGGGCCACATCCTGTCCTGTGCACTACCTCTAGACTGCAAGATGATTGCTCCTGGTTCCTTGTCCTGTATTTGCTTAAGCTTAGGTATAAGTAAAAAGGCTATGCAGTTGCTGCACATACTACAAAATTTAGATGTGGGCTGATGATCCAAATCAGCAACTGCCTCTCCTTTGATCTGTTGTTTTAGAACCAGGTAGTATCATCTCTAGAAAGTTACTGGACCCCTGGAAGGCCCCATACATGACTGATGGGCTGCATTTCACAAGTAGTAAAGATCTGAAAGATCATGTTACATTAACCTCTATGAGAAAATCTAGATGGAAAAGGAAAACAAAAGAAAACCAAACTAAATCTAACAAACAACCCCAGAGCTTTTCAATCGCACTGAAAAACATTTTACCTTGATCGTACAGTGCTTCTTCTTGGGTGGATGCCAGGCAATACCAGTTGAATGAATGAATGCTCTTAAAGGTGTTAATGATGTTACCAGTACATACACTTTGATGATGATTCTAAAGGTTTCTTTGTGGTCAACTTCAGTGGGTATCTTCTGTCTGGAATATTAGAACACAATGTTATAGAAATTTATTTATTTATTTATTTATTTATTTATTTATTTATTTATTTATTTATTTATTTATTTAAAACTTTTCTATGCCATCCCTTATGCCTTGGCATCTCAGGATGGCTCACAATACATAAAATTGAAATACAGTAAAATCACATTTATAAATGACATAATTCAATAAAAGTTTACATAAAAGACAAAATCAAAGTGACTGTTCAAAATGATAAAATACTAATTTTTAAAATAATGATTAAATACAAAGGTTTTGACCTGGTACTAGAAAGAATATAAACTCAGCACCAGGTGTACCTCTCCAGGGAGCACATTCCACAATCTGGGCACCACCGCAGAGACGGCCCTGCTCCGGGTATATGTTTTCTTTATCTCCTTCAGGGAGGGTTCCCAGAGCAGAGCCTCTTTCACAGATCTTAAGGGGCGGGAGGGCATGTAAGGGAAGAGGCGCTCCTTCAGGTATCCTGGTCCCAAGCCATTCAGGGCTTTATAGGTTAAAATCAGCACCTTGAATGGGCCTGCACTTCAACCAGAAGCCAGTGTAGCTGGTAGAGGACCGGCGTTATGTGAGAATAACGACTGGTCCCCGTCAGCAGCCTGGCAGCTCTGTTCTGTACCAGCTGGAGTATCTGGACCGTTTTCAAGGGCAGTCCCACGTACAGCACATTACAATAATACAACTGGGAGGTTACCAGAGCATGACTCACCATTGCTAGGATTCCTTTCTATAAAATGGTCTTAGAAGTTGCCATTATACTGACAGAAGGATGGTGCCAAATTTGTCCTTCTGGGTGGAGGTAATGGTGTCTAATGAGACCCTTCCAGTGCGCACCCAAGACAGTTTTCACCTGAGGCAGAATCCAAATGGCTCCCTCTTCACTACTGAGACACCATTTCTTGCCTTCCTCTATTACCTCTGAGGCCGGTTGCTTCACCATGCTGCACAGCCAGACTAGCCCTGGATTTGCTGCCGATTTGATAGCTGTGTTAATTAATTTCTTAATCAATCCCACAGGCATTGTTTTACAAAGCTGCCATGAGGTAAGGACAAATATGTTCTCCTCTGCCACAGGAGAAGTATGTTCCAAAGACTCTGAAGAAGACTTGTGTGTTTTTCTCTACTGGATCTGCCCGTGGTGCTGAACCTACTCTGGCACTGTTCAGGACCATGGATAGTTCCTAGGAAGCTCCTATACTTCTGAAAAGCAAAGCTGCAATGGATGAGGAGCCCCTCTGACATCAGGCTCCCCAGGGTTCCTGACAAAAGCATGGCCTTTCTGCTCTGCATTTCCCAGGATAACTGAAAAATAAAGGTGGAAAGTATTTGCAGAGGTTAACTGGTGATGTGCTACAGGGAGGTGCTTTTACATATTGAAAATGAAGAGGGCAATTAGTGGATAGGGAAAGAATTATGCATGTCTTTCTCCTTGCAGTTACTCCCACTAGTCCCTGTATGTTGCTGATAATTCCACCCTCAAATATTCTGTTAAGAACATAAACCCATTCTCTTACTGCTGAATTTTCTTCATTGGCCAACGCAGCATTTGAGTCAGATTTGTCATTTTGTTATCATCGTGGGGCTTCACAGTGCGAAGAGGTATGAGGTTTGATTCTGGGCAAGCAGGAAGAGCAATTGGAAGATGCAATTCTGAGCAGAGAAGAAACATCCAAATTAGAAGATGGGTGGAAGTAGAGAATGCTTTTCCTTTCAAGAACTGCAAAGAAATCTATTTTTTAATCAATATTTTCCCCACCTTTTAAAACCTTTCATAGTGCAATGCGATTTATATTTTTGATTCCCTCTTTTGCTGTCACTTGTTATATTGATGTTCTTCTTTCAAAAAGTTTGGAGTGGCCTACATAGGATTGCCAATATTGATCCATGCAGGTATCTTTTAGGTCCAAATCTGCCTAGCTTATGCCATATTGATAAAGGCAAAGAATTAACCAACCACAGACCATTTACCTTGCTACCTTGTTGCATTCATTGCATCAAAACAGAAACCACATACTATTTGCTAAATGCAGAACAATAAAATATTAATTTTGAAAGTCACTTGAAAGTCACTCCAAGAGATGTCAATCATGCTCACCCTGGAATCATTATGCAATGGATTGTGGCCATCAGGGAAAAAATCAGAAAAAATGGCTTAATTGAAATAGTAGGTGTTAAGCCCCTAAATACACTTGAGGCAGTAACACTCCGTATATTTTTCTGGGGAGTAAGCCTCACTGAGAAAAGTGACTAGTACTTTTGAGTAAACATGCACAGGATTGGACTGAAAATCCCATTCATTCCCATGGAACTTAAGATACCTTTGCATGTTGCATGATATGGGACATGAAGTGAAATTACTGGAGCATTTTGAATAGAAAGCAGTAGATTCTGTGCACTGTGGCTTTAGCAACGTGTTCACTGAAGTTATCTGCAGAAATGGAAGTGCAGCGATACTGTGATGAGATCTGCCAGCAGAGGGTGTTCTCCTTCTTTGCTTTCACCCGTCTTTGTCACAAAGCCTTTTTTGTTCATATGTGGTGTGGCTTTTATTAACCAGAGCGAAGTCCATTTTTAGACATTTCCAAATGCTTAAGTAAGGGAGAAGTCAAACTGTTCCTATTATTCCCAGATCTCATTACTTAGCATGAGACCACACAGTGCTAAGCTTATTAAGTGATTAGTACAACTTGCCCTTAAACAGATTCATTTTATTTCAATTTGCCAACATAAAATCATAAAGGAGGCTATAGGATTTCTAACGATTCCCCAAGAATAAGGCTTTGGTGACAAAAATGCTGTTCACAACTGTGCATGATCCGAAGTAGTTTGCCAAGGTATAGACATTAGTCACAGTGCTCTGACGACAGTTATGGAGACTGCAGACTGAATGAGCCCCAGGTGGTCGGCATTGCAGGCATCAGATAACTCCTGGCATGCTGGGGCAAAGAAGCAACAGCTGACCCGCATCTCTGAAAACCCGAAGACTGGCTGCAACAAAAATGTGTTGATGTGCGACAGAAACACAGGTCTCTGAGCTGGCAGGGAGCAGAAATACGAGTAAAGTGACTTGTTCAGTCTGCAATCACCATTTGGAAACCGAGCCTCCACTGGATTTGACAAATTCCTAATGTGCTTGGTAAATTCCTGCACTGCCTTCTGCAGGGTGCCATTTCCCTTAGTCCAGGTTAATGTTTTCCTATAGCCTGAGTCATTAGCTACAAGAGCCAGTTCATGGAATTATTCCCCAAAGTCCTCCAGCAGACCTCACGAGAACCACTGATCAGGAGATGCTGGCATCTGACAGGAAGCTGGCTTCACGCCATCAGCCAATAGTGAAGAAGAGACAGGCCTGAGATGTGCATAAGGCTGAATGGGTCTCCCCATAAGCAATTTGAAATGTGTTGCACCCTGCGCACCTCTGTGTAAATTGTCCTCGGGTAGCATGACATGGAAATACCCTCAAAGTACACATAACAGCAGCAAAAGCACATTTAGACTGCAGTATTTAATGTTGGCAGTTCCCTTCCAATTTGTGTTAATAATTGACAGAGTTTTTCAGCTCCACTCATTAGGTTATGTGCAAGTTTAAGCAAAAATCAGTCCCACTGATATGAGTGAGATTCCCTATGGTTATAGTCTCAGCTATCATAATTCAGTGTTCATAGAATCCAATATTGTATTTGCATACAAATCCAAGATTATATTTGCATACAAATAGCTTCATAAACTGGTTCTTAGAGAACAAGCAGGGCTGATGAAAATCTATATTAAGGCTTGAAACAACTTTTTAAAGCAATAAATAAATTTATTTGGGAGTCAGTACCATTAAAGACATGGAGATTTATTTATAGGTAACATTATGTAGGTTGTTCTGTAATGTTTGCTTAGTGGAACAGGATCATTGTTTATGTATAGTTAAGGACACGCAGTGCACGTGGCTTGGTGAGTGAATCAGAGCTGGAGTCTTTTAAACGCTACATTCCACACGCGGCAAAGGGATTAGCAAATGAACTGCCTCCCTCGGATCCGGCAAAGCAAGTGTGATCAAATGACTGTGCGAGGGACAGGACAGAAGGAGCCTTAGCAGAGGCGGCACATGGCAGCTCTCTTTGTATCAGTGCTTCCCCTGTAGACTAACTGGAACAAAAGGCCCAATTACAGAAGTCGAGAGCAGGGTATGCAAGAAGAAGATCGAAAGAAGCAAGCATCTCCCAATGTACAGTTTGTGCAAATCTATACTGAAGTTAAAAAAAGTTTCAAGATTCTGCCCCCCCCCCCCCCCCCGCCACCAAATATCTTCCGGATTTGAAACACACACCAAGGAAAAATGTTTTCGGAGTAACAAAGCCAAGGATATCTTTCTACATTTGCTTCATAAATCAAATCTGCTATAAACAGTGCAAGATCAATATCGATGGTTGCCATGGAGGAGAACACCATGTCTCTGATAAAGAGGCCTTGAGCCACAGTAACTGTGATCATCCAGCCTCTTGGTTGTTTTTATTGCAGCAGGCTAATCTGCCACTCATTTGAAAATGCTTGAAAAAAGTAGATCCTGGGTAGAACATAAACATGGGCGGGAGAAAGCAGATGAAATGCAGAGTAATTTGCATTTTCTCAGAGTCACCTCCTTTTCCATAGCTCAGGAGGGTTTGTCCTCTCCCAGTCCAATTTTGGAAAAACTCTTTGGGGATGATTTCCAGTGGTGCATGGAAGGCAAAAGGAGGTATGCTAAAAAATGCAGCACATGTTAACCTAAAACTGCCAGTAATTAAGACTTAGGATAAAGATTTTCAACAATTCAGAATAGGAAGAAACTGTGCAAAACTCAGAAAACCTCCAAATAATTGGCAGTTGTAGGAAAGGGGAAGTTGGCCAGGGGAAAGGGACATGGTGGTCTTGGAAAACCCAGAGGGCCAGACTGGGCCCTTAAGTGGCATGAACTTCGCTAGTGAACTACATTAATTTCAGTATATTTTTCATTCACTCATTCATTCATACATTATATTTGTATCCCACCTTTTTTTCTTTCAAGGAACTCAAGGAAGCTTCCGTACTTCTCCTCCTGTTCTCAATTGTATCCTCACAACAACCCTGTGAAGTAGGTTGGGCTGAGAGTCTGTGACATGGCCAAAGTCACCCAGTTGGCTCCATGGATGAGTGAGAACCAGAACTCAGATTGTCTGAGTTCCAGTCCTGTGCTTTTAACCACTACAGCACACTGGCTGTCAGATGTTTGTAGACCTCACTTTTCCTGACTCTATTTTAAGGTTTTTCTGGCTTGGTGGACGCTCATTGTGACTGCTGCTGGCCCAGAGAACTTCTGAGGAGGGTTTGGCATGTTGAAACTTGAGTTCAGTCATGCCTACACAGTAGCTGCCTCAGAAAAGTTTTGCAGCAGTACAAAGTAAAAGTGACTAAGGTAGAGGATCTCCTAGGCGGACATGTGCTGGTCCAACTTATTTTAGGCCTTTGGTCGCTCACCACTGCCATGTGGGAAGTCCCTTGAGAGAGAGTGATCATTTTTTTCATGCAGCTCTTCTGGAAAAAGTTCTCATGATAGCAAGTGAGCTAGGACCAAGAGTTGGCAATAAGTGATTTCTCAGCAGCACTTAAAACAGCTGCTGATTTGTGGCAATGGAACATAATAGCTAACTTGTATATTTAATCTCTTTTAATTCTCACTTTTGAGCTGGTTGCCAGCATATATTGCAGGTTTTTCTTCTGCAGAAGAGAAAACAGAGAAGCCTAAATATTAATTGGCTTGTCCACACAGGTGCTTTTGAACTATCTTATTGATGGTGATAAGATGGGATAAGAGAAATACAGTTTGTCCTGAAAGAGCAAAAGCGGCCCTGCAGCACTGGCTTTCTTTTTACCAGGCTTTTGCTTTATGCAAGCAGCCATCTGGTTTATTCGAGGAGGATACTGCAGCACATGAATACTTCAGGATACTGAAGCTACATGCCTTCACACAACTACTGTCCTGAACGAAGGTGGAAACATCGCATGATGAGCGGGTTGACACATCACAGAAAGCAAGGCTGCAGGATTGCCATGGTTGGTGGCAACGGAGCATATATTCCCCAGTGGACAATTTGAAACCCCAGTCAGTCCTGTTGTTTCCTGGCCAATCACATCCTCCAGCTCTAATCATACATTCCAGCAGCCCCTCAAGCAAAATCCCCTCCATTACTGAATTGTTCCCTTAGCTGCCTCTTCGTGACTGGTCTGCTGAGGTTTTGAAAGTTCTCCATCTTTCACCTCATGTCTATATTCCATCTCTTTAACATTTCCTAGTCAACCCATCACCAAAAGGGTTCTTTTAACATTAAGATTAAATGTTAATCTTAAGACCTACTTTTGCTGTAGGTCTCCACCTCTCTCTCCATGCAATTACCCACTTTCTCTAATTTCAGAAAGTAAATAGAGGGACATACAGAGCACTAAGCCGACACACACAAAGCAAGCAGTGATGTATGTATAGCTAGGAAGTAATGGGTAGTAGAGAAGAGATGCCTGGAGTGTCCCCTTCTGTTGCCACTCTTTCCATGGAAGAGCATGGTGTTTTCCAGCCATGAAGATTAAAATAGAGCTCCCAGGTCTAGAAAGAACAACTGTCAATCAATGATAGCAGAAACTATACAACA